ATACTACTTTAAAATACTTTAATTAACTAAACAAAAAAAAAAAAAAAAAAGAAAAAGAGAGGAAAGTTTTAAATATTTATCTGTTAATGAAGTGAATCATATAGATCATAATTTTTCTTGTTGTCAATATTATTTTAATCAAACTATTTGATATCAGAAATGTATGACATTTGTTCCATTTGTATTACAAATTGGGAAAATTGTAAGGATATGATGTGTAAATAAATTGTATATTATAAGGCTTAAATAAATTCTTTCCAATTTATCTTTGCTAAGTTCGGTTTGCAAAAGAATTTTCAATTTCTATTCAAATTTTGCATTACTTATTACACCTATCATATAGAAAAATCAATGAATTTATATCCCATTTTATTTCCTTTCAGCCTAAATTTTCTCAACGTTATAAATACGCAGTATTTAAAGAATTTTGTTCAAATCAAAAATTTTTAATCCAAACTTTAATATTTAAGGCTAAACAATATGGGGAGAAGATAATTTATTAATAGAATAATTCAAAAGATTTCTTTTTTTAACAAGATTTCTTTTTTTTTTTCTTGAATTGAAAGTATGGGACAGACAGATCTTCTCTGGAGAAGAGAATTATGCTTTTTATAAAGCAATTTGTCCAGTTAGCTAATAATGAAAGCGATGACATATCATGCTATAATAAATTTACTGCGAAGAAACTGATCAACAGTCAATATTCATTATTATCTATTTTTTTTCTAAATGATGAAAAATAATGAATTTGTATAAGTTTCGAAATCAAAACATGAGTATATAAATAATATACAATGAACTGAGCTACATCATCATTCATTCTTCCTCTTCCTCCTCTTCTTCGTCACCTTCCTCTTCTAAAAATTGTATCAAGAATTTAGATAATGTAGCAATGTCAGGTAAGATTTCAAATTTAGAATGGAAGCACACAGCTTTTTTTTTATAGTAGCTCATAATTGATCTTTAAATTCCATCACAATTTTTCCTTTTTTTTAAAAAAAAAACGAATAAGATCGACCTGCTTCATCGTCCTCTTCAGCACCTTCATCTTCAGGAACTTCTTCCGGAGGTGCGGCTTCTTCCACCGGTGCTTCTTGCTTCTTCTCCTCCACTTCAGCGCCACTTTTATCACTACTTTTTTTGGACCATTCAGGCTTGTCAGTCTTCTTTGCCATTTGCTGAAAAGATGACATTTAAAAAATAATTCCATGATCAAGCAAGCACCTTCCTCATGCAGTTTCGGGAGAAAACTGCATGCAGATGAATCTTCTTTGCAAATAGAAAAAAAAAGAACTTTGTTAACGATGTCATCGATGACATTATCTTTTTTGACCACTTTGAGGTTTGCTCTGAAGTCCTGTTTATCTTCCTTCTGTCCCGCCATTTTCTTGAATCTAAATCAATCAATGCTTAAATTTTATGTTATGTTGGATTAACACAGTTATCTTACCTGTACAAAATGACCAACGATAAAGGTTATAATATAATACAACCTGTAATAAAATTACTTATCAAACTCATCATAAGTCTCCTCGAAACCTTACTTATTGTCATATTTTGATACTTTCTTAAGCGTTGGTTTTACAAATTTCCCTCGCAGATCGTTGACAGCAATTGTAAGTTCATTAATCTGAAAATACAGATAAAGCATTTTAACCTGCTAGCATATACTTCTGGAAAATTTCCGATTCACATGAAAATATTTTCAAACGAATGGAATTTGTATACTTCAGCATCCTTAGCCATGACTGCTTGGTTAATATCGTACTTTTCTTCCTCCAACTTTACCATATGTTGAAACAACTGATTGTAAATTGCTTCCAATTTACCTGTCAGATTAACTGATTTTAAATTTTGAAATTAGGAAAAGTTCTTTCAACTGCCAGTGCAAAATTCTTTCCATCATTTTTATGGGCTAAATTTTTTGGAAAAGTGATTAATTGATGTAAGAAGATTTTGTGCTATCCAATAAAAATCAATTTTGTGTTACCGTGATCTTCGATGGTGTCAACATCAGGTAATGGTATTATACGTTGTGAGAGAACTTTCTGCCTTTCCTGCTCTTTGAGTAATTGTTGTTGTTTCAGATCTTCTGCTGCTTTCATCATAAGCAATTTCTGAAATTTTTGAAAATTTCTGTCACAATCAAACTAGTTTTTTAATCATTTCAATCAATTTCAGCTTTTAATTAAATTTCATTTATTTTAGAATTTGACTAGCAATGTTCAACAATCAATCAGTTTTGTGATAAACTTTTGCAAAAGTAACATTGATGAAGCTTACACGAAGTTTCTTCTTCCTCTCTGGTGTTAAAAAACCCTTTTTTGCTTTCTTCTTTCCAGCTTCTTCCAGGCGCTTACGCACTTCCGCTTTCTTCATTTCTCTTTCCTCCGCTTTCCGTTTGGCTTCCTACAGTAATAGGAAATGAATTAATGATTCCATGAAAATAAATCATGAATAATTGTTCCCTATTATCAAATTTTTTCATCCATTAATTTTTGAGGACTGGTTCAACTCCAATTGATGAATTGAATAATTTTGAATAAAAAAATTTTTCCGATTGAGTAATTCATCAAATTCTGCAAAGATATCGAATCCTTAAAAAAACTAGAAACAATTTTATATACTTACGGAATCATCATCCTCGCCGAGAGGACCGCCGTATCGTGGACGATTGTCACACTCAGGTACTTCGTTGCTCTTATATTCATCCATATCCATACTACAATTACTTGCAAATTTTGATTTTTTCTAGACTTTTTTTTTAGTTAAGTAGGAAACTCATTCGCGAAACTTTATTATCGTTGAGAAATAAAGCGGATTTGTTCATGCGCTGATCAAATACTTTAAAATCAGATATTGACCAAATTAAGCATAAATTTTTGGCAAAATTATTCAGGTTATGCAGATCTATGCAGAATATCCCTTCATTTCTGTTACTTCTTTTCGAAATATAAATAAATACAGGAGGTCTAAAATATTCTAAAATATTGAATTACGTGAGCAAATGTGATTCTAAAATTTTATGCTCTATTCACAGTAAAATGTACAATCTATAATTCAGATTTGAGCAAGCCCAGTGGTACAAACTTTTTGATCGGATATTTGTTAGTTAAGACGGAAATATTTGCATTAAATTTGATTTCTTCGATTTTTCATCAATTCAAAATTCATTGGTATTTCCTAGATTTTCCAAATATTTCTGTATAATTCTTACAAATCAAATCAAAAAAAAACGAAAAACAAAAGATTCTTTTATTACTGATAGAACGGTAGTAAAAACAAGGAAAAAGTTAGAAATGATAGAGTCGATATTCTTAGAAGCTGAATGCAAGCAACGCAGTATCATCGTTGGTAAATAAAATTTTCTCGGTAAATCATCCTTAACTACCGCCTCACTAGCAACAATAACGTAAAAAACAAAACAACTGACGCCTCTAACTAAAAACGTATCATGATAAGTTTGAACCGATAATTTATCCTACTCCTCTCTAACAAGTAGTTTTCAACATTGATAATTATAATTTTTTCCTTCATTGCTTACATATACTCTTCCTCTTACCCTTCTCCTTCCTATCCCTGCCGCAATTATTACGGTAATTTGATGTTAGAATAAACAAATAAAAAAAAAAAATGAAAACGATAAGTAAGAATAAATGAAATAATTAGGTGAAGAAGTAATGAACATTAGCAAAGTTTAGAACTTGCAAATCCGATAACCTTGTGCAAATTTTAATTGGCTTTTGATAAATTCTATATTCGAAGCTGAATCTATCGAAGAAAGCAAACATTGTTCGAAATTTATTTTGGAAAAATGAAAAATTTTAACAGATTAATAATTCATAACTTTTAACTTTTGAATAAGTTAAGTTTATTTACTTAAACTATTCACTAAAACAAAAATTAAGCATGCTTTTTTTTCACCTAATGATATGATCGCTAAAAATCCGGAAAAAGAAGAAAAAATTTTTCAGCAAAGATTTGCCAATTCCTGAATTACAGGAGATTTGGTATAAGATATGAAAGTTTCGATAGCACATAATCGAAAAAGAAAGTAGAATATATCTGATCAAAAACTATTTGATGCATGGCGACATATTTCAATCAGAAATCCATTCATAAATTTTTGATTTAAATGTGGCATGTGAAACTAAAGGAAGGTTCAAACTGTTGAAGGATCATCTTGCAATTTATAATTTGATATAAAAAACATAGTTCTTAATTAAAACAGCGAGATTTGGTCCGAAAAAAAGAAAAAAAAGTGTTTCATGTAAATAGGCAATTGTATCGCAAATAAATAGTGAAGATTTTTTCAATTTTTTGAAATCATAATTATTAATCTATTGTTTTCGAATTGTAGACTAATAAGTCTATTAATAAGTGTCGTACATGATATCTTAGCAAAATCCACATTGTTGGAAATGTTTCTTTTTTTTTAGTTTCAGGATTGCCCTAATAATAATAAAAATGTAACAAACATCATGTGGAATATTCCATTTATTTATGTAACAATGGTAGTGATCAAAGAATAGAATGGATAGGCGGTAAATGGTGAAGTGAAGGCGGAAATGGCAAAGTGAAACATTTGATGATTGGGAATAATGAATGGAAGGAAATTTTGGTAAGCTTTATATCGGGATTTAATTCCAAAAATCGTTGGTTATGCATTGTGATATGGATAGGACAGCAATCTGTTGTAATGAAGCTTTACTATCGCTTAACTTTCAACTGCCTCATCAAAAGATTCAGCTCATCCTTACACTTCGATCTCCTTTCTTCTTCTTTTTGCATCATTGTCGAAATTCTCTTCTCTCTCTAAGATATTCCACCCCCTTTCGCTCATTGATAGAAACTATCACTTCAGCTTTAGAATCAGGAAGCAAGCAATAAGCCTGTAGGTGATGTTACTACAAATCATCGTGTATTTGCAATTTCCTGCAACTTACTAACCATCACAACAATACTGCTTTCTTCTCTTTCTTCCCCACTTCAACATTATCAACACTAAAGCATCAACAACCCACGCTTTTCTTTTCTAACTTCGAAATCCTCAAGATTTATCTGCTCTTTTCATACACTCATACAATTCAACAATCTATGGATAAATTCTTGATTCTTGCAATTCCTTCATTTTTTTTTTTGCTCAATCTTTCACTTCTAAGCAATAAAAATGCTGGTAAAATATATCTTTGTGAATATATTTAAAGGAAAAAAAGACCCAAACTTAATACTTTCACTTAATCCAAGTTGATAATTAAATGATAATAACGGAATAAAAAACTTTGCCTTATTTCTTTAAAATGATTGCAAATCCCACAAACTACCGTGACTATTTTCTTCTGTTAAACGTTTCATTAATTTTTAGATGTCAACAGAAGGATTTCTACAAATCTACAATTAATTCTGCAAAACAACCACATCCAGATTAGCAAGAATTTTCCACCAATCTCATAAAACCCCATCGCTTTCTCAAATTTAAACTATTTCCTTAAAAGTTTATTGTTTTGTTAAAATGCACGAAATCAATACATAGCAGTAGGATTGCATTGAAGTATTGAAATGATGACATCAGAAATTTTCAAAGCTTCTAAAATGAAGCATTTTTGTTGATTTAATGTATTTATATTCCATTAATATATATATATATATGGACTGGATAGTTAAGTTTAGCTTCCCGCTAAATTTCCCGTTGGGTCCAATTTATCCACTTCATTTAAAAGACTCATTCCACATTAATAATTCGAATGATCTCTTAATTACTTTCATCATTTCCGACTAGTTTGGTCAGTTTGCGACAGCGGTTTAAGGCAGTGCCGAGGTTCTTGAGTTCATTTCATCAATGCAGCTGATTTGGTTTAGAATCCTAATCTATCTTAAGTGTTTTTATTTGGAGAAAACAAGAAAGCAACAACTGGGAGGAAACTTGAGATATATATATATATACATATATGCAGTTGTATAAGTGTTTAATTTTATATCATTGCGATCAAAAAGGTTTATTTTTTCCACTTTATGCTTTGAAAACTTTCATATGGAAAGGCAATGAATTTTAAGCTAAATTTGGAAATATTCCACACCAATTATAAGTGATTAATTTATGAATCTGTTTCAAATCATATCAGTGCAATGTCATTTCTCTTGTCATATGATGATACGCTCGTCAAAAAAATCACCCAAAAACATTTTTTAAATATCAAAAACTTCTGTATGCACAATTATTGCACAATGAACAACATTCGTTCTTGTGTAATTCCAGCAAATTCATTAATGAGCAATATCGAAGGACAAAAAGTGGATAAAAAATTGCTGACACATTAGAATCCTCATATATTTCCTTCTCCTTCCTCCATTCTATGCAATCAAAAGTGAACGATGGTACAATGTTCGATTACTGATTCATTATTAGTTTCAATTTGCAAACTCTCCCACACTATACATACGATCGTCCTCCAACTTTCTGGATGATGCTATTCATATTCACACTTTTTCAATATCTTTTCATTTTTGTTCAAATTTTCTTTTTCTTCTTTGTTATTTTATTTTTCGATTCCTTCATTCATTTGCATTGAGTAACTTTCCTTTTTGCCCCTCTTTTTCATTTTCCTTCTTTATCACAAATGAAAGCTCATTTACCTGCATAACCTACCCAGATTTCACCCTCCTTTCTCTCTCTTTCTCCTCCTCTTCTTCGTACCTCAATTTTAGCATATTCACTTACTACTAAAAGCATCATTTGTATAATAAAATTACGGCACATACCAATAAATGGGAACATATATATGTAATTGTTATCATTTTTATATTTGTCTGCAGCTATAACTCCCATGCACACAACTGATAAGATGGTGATAAGATCACCACTGTAGAAACCACGAAATATCTTACCAAGATATGCCTCTAAACTGAATGTTTAAATTACTGTAATGACTCAGTGCTTGAAATATTGAGTGATTAACACGAAAAATGCTTCACAATGAAGATACCTGAAAATGAATCCAACCATATAATCCTAAGCTTAACCTTATATAATCTTAAGCTAAACTTATCGAACAGAAGAAAATGAGAAGAAAAATAGATGCTTACTGATTCAGTGTCACTATTTGTGATTTCTTATTGATTTCCTTAATAAAGTATGTTATTCCGGAAGCAAAGTAATATCTTCTTACCTTATCATCTCTGCAACTGAACTTTTCCGCTTTCTTTACTCTCAACTTCATGTTACTTACACCTTTGTTGCTCATTTTTTAACGAGCAATTGCTGTGATTCTCTATCAGGGGAATTCGCTTAACTCAGTTCGCATAAAAACCAGCTAAACTTAACAGGAAAGGAAATAATACCTTGCCGAATATTCGGATGGGGGTCCTCCCACGTTCATGTTAACCTTCGCAGGAATTAAGGAAAAGTAAGTGTGGAAATGGAGGAGTAAACCAGACAGTGATATGGTAGCGACTTGAACACTGTATTGCTTTGTGGTTGAGGCGTCAGCAGTGGGTACTGTTTATTTTATTGTCAGCTACGTATTTCCGAATCAGGTAGGAGGGACTTGAACTTCTCTTGGGGGACCCGCACCGGATTTCCCTCTCACTGCTTGTGTCTTTCATACGGAAATCGCAGATGTTATCAGTCAGTGAAGGCGTGTAACGTATTATTTCTAAATTTTCTGGAAGAGTTTCGCGGAATAGTCCGAATTACTCTATTCAGCATTTGCCATTTATATCTTGACTAATGGTTATCAATGTGAAAATCTTGTCAGTGCTACTTATGGTACTATCAGATACAAATAATTGGATTGATATCATTATTGATGTTATTAAAGATTGAGTTTAATTGATTTGGGATATCAAGTATGAAAGACAGACTGTCCGATTTGCAGCAGGTATGTTGATTTGTTTGTTTGGTACCATTAGCTTTTATTTTTTACTTGTTAGTGATAGCAGACAATACCACTATCCCCTTGTTGGCAATACCATTATCTCCTAGTGGTAATGCAACGTGACGAGCTGTTAAAAATAAAGTGTTATCTATGTCGAGGAGTTTGAAATTAATACGACGATTATTTCGTCAGAAAGAAAAAATCTGTTATCTACGCCAAGGAGTTTGGAAGTTATACGAACGTCAGACGATTATTTTGGTTTTAATTTGATTGCACATGGATATAGGAAGGATATTTTCCTCAATTTGCAAATTCTAAATTGTACAGTCGAATAAAGTAATATTGAAAGTAAAAGTAGACGAAACCTTGGATGTTAACAGAGCGCTAAGAAAGAAATATCGTTGTCGGCTTTGGTGGAACGACTGGACGAGGAATGGACAGATGCATCCGAGAAAATGAATTTGTTAAATAAAGCTAGTAGCAGCAAAGTCGACACGGTATGAAAATTTTGCCTTGGTTTCAACATTTTATACACTAATCAGATCTTGTTGTTTCCTATCACACATAAATTTAATATGAAGCTGCTCTCGGCTGCAAAGAAATATACAAAAGATATTCCATATTTTCAAATGTAATCGTATGTTTCAAGTTTCTAACGCATGTGGATGGGTTGGTAAATGATTTGAATGGAATGGAAACTTTACTGGATGAAATAAAAGATTGGCATTGGAAAATCATTGTGGAACCAGGAGATCATCCTGGTAAACATCATTTACCTTATAGATTTTGTTATAAGGAAAACACGGGTGATTGGTTGTTTGATTGATCAGGCTCTCCAATTTAGAACAGTCAAATCTCATCATTTCAAAAACTTCAGTTATAAAATTCAAAGTGAAAAGTAATAATGCTAAAATTTTTAGAATAGATGGTCTTATGGCTATTTTTGGTAGGACTTGATTCACAGAAGCTGTGGGGTAATTAATTTTTGAGCTTACACGGATTTTCATCATTGGAATAGCTGAAATAATCTGAAATAAAAGTTACAGAAATGAATGCGCAATTAGATGGTGCAATAGCTTCTTACACGGCAATGCTTTATAAAACCCAGGCTGCTCTCAAAAGTAAGTGCACTTAATTACTGAAATTAGAATTTTTATGGTACACAGTAACTTTTTGCTCCGAAGTTTTTATTTGAAATAGTTTTTAAGGTTTTATTAAGGTTTAAATGCTGAAGTTGAGCGGCAGTTCGATAAAGCGACCGATGAAACTGCTCAAACCGTCGAAACACGGATTAGAAGAAATCAGGTGATATAATATCAAAGCTTTTTGTATGTGAGGGTGCATTAGTGATCTTGTAATTGATCATTATAAACAGCATTTGTAATTATTTTCAAGATCCCGAAATAATGTAATACTGTGACCTCGTCTTATATTGTAATATAAATTTTAAGCTAATGACGCTGACGAAAAGGCTGCAGGGTCTACTGATCGCTTTCAATGATGAGCAACTTACATACAAAGATAAATGCAAACGGAAAATCCAGTCGTACTTGAAAATTTGTATGGTTCAATTCTTTTTTTAATAATTTTCATATTTTGCTGTAGTACAGATAAAGTAACGTTTGGAAATTATTTCTATTATGTGCATAGTTAATTTACTTGTATATCTAAGGTAAATTAACCGTTTATCTGTGATATTAGCTTAGATGATTTATTTAAATGCAAGTTTAGCTTCAGTTCAGTGTAATGCTCAAAAATTGTAACCTGTTAAATAATATTACCGTTAGCTGACAACGTAGTGAACGAAGAAGATCTTGAAGCGATCATCGAAAAAGGAACTTTATTTGAGCACACAAAAGTGGTTAGCTTTTTTCTTCTTTTCTGAACTTTATCTTTTACTGGAACACGTTGATTTCCCTCACAAATAAGTAGGAATATTTTCCCTTCATGCCAATTGAACTACTGCATTACTCATTCTAGCTGATGTTGGCGGAACAAGATAAGAAAGCTCTGTATGATGAAGTAAAGACGCGTCGTGAGGATATTGTGAAATTAGAAAGCAGTATAAGGGAGTTACATGGCCTATTTGTCGAATTAGCTACTCTCATCCAGAGCCAGGTTTTGTGACCTGTTATTACATAAAGCAATAGCATTTTTCAAAAGGAAGTCTTTAAAATCTCTTTGCTTAATCATTTAGTTTTTTGCAGAGTGAACTGCTAAATAACATAGAGCGAAATGTTGAAAGTGCTGTGGAATATGCTCAGAAAGCCCACACGAACATGATCAAAGCTAAAAATATGAGGGCAAGTATCCGTAAGGTTGTCCTTTTTGTAATTGCTACAGCTTTTTAGATTTTAGATCTGAATATTCTTAGTCGTATTTGACAGAAAATCGAGATTTTATTCGCTTTTTGCTTATTTCGATTCCAAAGTGGATATTCCTACTTCATTGTTTCAGAAAAAAGTATGTTTGCTGGTAGTGATCATCGTTTGCATAATCTCCATATTCTGCGTGGGAACAATGCTATTTTGCTTTTATGTTCCATTTCTATGCCGCTGAAAATAGGAGATCTTTGTATAGCATCATTTTTATTTATCTTAAAATTCTCACTGTTGACTATGCAAATCATTGCTGGAATGTTGATTTTCTTTTTTTGTGACTTGCCAGGAAAACCCTGAAGACTGTCAAACTAAGATTTTAAATTTTAGCAGTTCTGAATAGTCAAATTTCGAGATTTAAATGTAGAAACGTGTATTCTATTTACATTGCCTGTTTTATCGTCAGTTGAAATTTCGTTTATTGCAGCCTCACTTCATTACCTGAGAAATTCTGTTGTGATTATTTACTGGTGATGTATGTTTATAAAGCAGCACTTTCTTTTTGTTTCCCAATATTTTTCAGCGAAAGCTGTCACTAGCTATTTTGCTTGGCGAAATAACTTGTCTTCATTGTTGTACAGATTCCAAATGCATTTGCACAGTCATTAGTTAGAAGGAGAGATTTTACTCACAGAGACGTGAAATTGAAAACGATGATATTCAAGAAATTAAGAAGAGTGAGTGGTCCGGTGTATATGTGGGGGAGCTTGGATTTTTGATTTTTTCTGTTCGGGTCTATCAGTTTACAAATATTAATGTTCGTGTCGCACAGCTTAACCAGTGTCGGATCATGATGCTTCTGTAACGGATTCTCCTAGTCGAGCCACACCCAGAACTGCTAATTCAGGTGTTGTTTCTGTAAATCTAATTTTCAAATACGTAAGCATTGGTTTGTGAGTGACCTATTTTCCTAATGAAATCAGAAATAAGGGTCCTGAGATATGTATGTGGAGCTTTTTAACCGCTTTTAAAAGTCAAACGAAAGGTTTTGGATAGCAGTAAGGAAATTAACGGAGTTCACCACTCATTCCAGAACTTGGCAGCGGTTTCTGAGATTGGATCATTTCCAAAGATTCATGAAATATCATACCTTGATAAGTTCTCTGAGATCGCTTGTTTAATAATAATTGTCTTAGTACACTTTGTTCCGGGCTTGACTCTTCATCGCATCTTACGGAACTGCAAATAATTGCCATTCTTACAAGTACTTTGATAACAGAATAATCATATTTGATTAAGAGTGCATTTCGCGTTCTGCTTTATTGGTTATTTACCTGTGTTACTTATCAGCAAACGAGTGATAACGTGGATGAAATAGCCGAATTAGTTGGATTCATTAGTGTAATCTGAAAATAGCTCACTTGCTTCGATGATTAATGACGACAAACTGCGTTTTAAGATTCCATGGATTAGTAAACGGTATCCAAGTAGCATTAACTTTGATGCAGTGTTTATTCATCGCCCTGATTCTGTAACTTGTTTCCTTTGTATCACGCTGACTTAATACTGAAATTACTTTCTTAAGACGGTTTCCAGTGGGAGTTATATAGCCAATATATGAGGGTAGCAAAGCGCATAAGCCTTAATCCAAGTCATCTTCCCCTCGAAATAGGTACCTACTTATCACTCTGTCATTTCCCACCACTTTTTATTTTATCTTCATCCACTGTAATATGACAGTAACTCTGTTAGCTAAACATACTGTATTAATATATAAAGTTCTTTTTATAAATAATTAACGTTCTTAAAAGCCAATTCATGTTGGACTTCATTGATCATTGAGGGCATTCTCGAGCCGTTCGTACTTACTTGAATAACATTACGAAATAGAGCAAGAATTAGAAACCTTGTTTGTGGTGATATGCTACATCAAGTAAATCACCCTCGTGAATGAGATCGTAATAATAACAACCAGTAAGATCTTGTGGAAGATGTTTCAGGATGAATGGCAGTCTAAAAAGTAATGTATAAAACAGATTTGTTGGAGATTTGAAGTTGAAGCTTTTGCATTTGTAAAAGTAATATGATTCTGATCACTGCAGTAAAATCAAATTTAAATGAAAAAATATAAACTCTCAAAGCCATGAAATTGCATACCCAGAACCACAACGGATGATCCGACCATTTGGTGTTACAGTTATCTGAAATTGCTCTTCTACACCTGCAACAAAATACAAATTTTATGCAAATTAAATCTAGAATTCGCAACAATTTCGTCAGCATTTAGAAAGTTTTAACTTCGGAAATCTCACACGACTCCAGTGTAAAGTGGATCCCCAAAACTTGCTTTTTTTTTTAAAGTACTTTCAAGTTTCAACTTCTGCTTTTTCTCCAAATATTCTTTACTTACGTGATGAGAATAGCTTGATGAGTAACATGACCAGAGATGGTTTGTCAGTATGACGTAGTGAACCGTAACAATGAAAATATTCATAATTCTGTTCAAAGTGATCCAAGTCTCTGTAATTACAGTTTTTTTTTTGTAATTAGCTTCCACTCAAGAGATAACGTTAATAATTACTTTGCCGAAACGGAATTCTAAAGCATTTTTACCATCCAGAATTTCTTCATGTGAGGAATTGGAGAGAGCAGATAGTAAGAAAGATTCCACACTATGCAATAATTGAAAATTTACAGCATACTTTGAATTGTAGACCCGTAGACGACATGCGAAAGAACGCCTTAAGCCTACACTCCACTCTGTTTTCGGCTTGTGACATCCCGTGCTCGAACTTACTGTTTCACAAACTGAATTTAATATGAGAAATGAGTGGCCTGTTATGTGATCATGAATGTTTCCAAGTGAAAAAGCGCTTATAGTACAGTATGAAAAAATGGCTAATTAATCAATGAAACATCGACTGTAACAGTAATTTAATTTTTAACAATAGAATTAGACCTGAATCGTTGATGTTGAAGTTTTCGTAGCATTCCATGCTGGTTTCCTTTTTGAAAACAGCTGCATCTACGGGATGTAGTATTTCGTACCAGTTTCTGATTAATCATATTGAATGTACTGCCACATCAATCAATTAAAGTGATTTGTAGTAATAACTAGTAACAATAACTAGTGTTAATAATGTGTTACTATTGATCAGCTGATTAATTAATTGATGATTAATAATAATAATAATAATAATAATAATAATAATAATAATAATAATAATAATAATAATAATAATAATAATAATAATAATAATAATAATAATAATAATAATAATAA